TGTGCTATCGATTATGGTTGAAGAACAAGAAATCGATAGCACATGTTTTCGCTACACCGAATTGATGGCTCGCTCAGTTTCAGTAAGTCCGGAATAAACTCTTCTGGACACATGCAGGATGCCCCAATTGCAAAAATTGATTGTTGTGCTTCAATCAATCTGTTAACCATACTAAGTGATCATACCCTGACGCTTTGTGATGCGGAACAATTAGAAGTGAGTATTGGATTGAAATACCTGCTCATACGAACTTTGTTGCCCCTCAGCGTGTCGGATTTAATCTGCCCTGTCGAGATGTGGTCACGTTCAATCTGAACACATTGGAAAACGAAACTGCTAAAGTACCTTGTTGAATGTTTTCTCACAACCCTCCTATTTGCAGCTTTCCTTAGCATTTTCTTCAAAACGTATTCATATTTACTTACTGACCACCACAAGTGTAGAGCTCGTGTTCGACATACTACTCAATTTCGTTCCAAAGTCTTTGGTAGGTAATCTATCCCCCATAGTTGAGCTGTTTCAATCCAGTGCGTTACAACCAATTTTCTTGGTGTCGTGGTGTCTAACCAGTATTTGTCGGTGAATTTACACACAAAAGCAGTGACGGAATTGTTGCAATTCGATCCGACTGCTGTTAGAGCATTTATCCGTGCTGTGACTAAGGTTGGTTCCCCTGGTCACTTTCTTTATATCTGACTCCTTTTCAGGATGTTTTTCTTATTGCCGGTCCCGGTTCACTGGGAGTGATTGTCGATGCGACTGGTACTTCTCAGCGTCCCCCAATTCAAATGTCCCCAAACGTACTAGACGTTTTTGTTTGGAAAGATTACGTTTATACCGTTACGGATGAATTTTTTACTATACACAGGTAATATCTTGTCGTCCGTCTTCGTTTTGATTAATTCATTGCCTTTACAAAAGCATATATCTGTACATATATAGATATATATCTGCATATCCCAATCCACCCATTCCCTGTCTTTACTATTATTGTTATGGTAAATCACAGTACAATAATTTTTACAAAAAAAGAAAAACATCCGTCATTTGCTCAAGACCACGATACTGCTAGATTGCCCAGGCCAAAGCAGGTGAATTTTCCTGGAGAATTCACAACCGGAGCCTTTGGTTACCCAAAGCCCGACCCGCAAGACAGCGGGGAGGTGTGGGGAAATCGCAATCCATTGGGGACCGGTGTCCAGTTCGTCGGATCATACACCTTTTGAACCGGATCAAACGTTCAAGGTGCCCAATATATACGCCTCGATGTCCAATCGAGCCGATGACCACTACCACAACCAAGAAGGTGTGGGTGGTTGTGATTCGTACGGTTCATCTTGGTTGATTTGGAATCAAGGTTTTTGGCCAACTCCCCTAGGTGAACTGCCAGTGGTTCATCGATCCGGTTATAGCCCCGCATATCAGCTTTTCGTTCTTTCACTTTAGTGGGGAAATACCGCCACGAGAAGACAGTCAGTTGTTCTTCCTCAGCAGAAGCTATTTGAATCTCTTGGCCAAATAATAGCATTTCGCGAGTTGCAAAGTTAGGGTGGCCAGCCGCAACCCGAGGTACCCACCCCCGACCACATTGGGGCTTTCGGAGGCTGTATAAGTAAAACAACCTTACAAAGATGCGGTATGCTATATCGTGTACAGGCAAAATAAAAAGCGGTCTGATAAGCTATCCGATGGACGCGTGAGTAATGTTTGCGTTCTATCTATGAGGTTATGAGTTTGATCTCTAGGCGAATCGATGGATTTGCACTGCCGATGAGACCCAACTAGGTCGAAACAGCCGTCTAGTGCTTCTCAGCTTTTCAGTTCATGTTTCATTTCCTGTACATGACGAAAATCACTATATAATATTGGAACTGTCTTAGAATGTTTGCTGTAACCAATTTGTTGCAAGAGCTGCTTCTAACTGATTGGTAATTACCTCGTCTTCATTTGCGGTTCTCTGTAATATCCATATAGCCTGCTCAGTCAAACTCAGCTTCAAACTGTTCCACTCAATAATGCCACATCGGCTTGCTTTGCATCCGACGCGATGCATTTCGTTTTTGTTGGCACTTGGTTAGCCAACTGCTCGAAAGCCGACCTGGTGGCTATCGGTCCGGAACGCTGGGATCAGTTTGCTCGCAAATTGATTCTTGCGGATTGCATGAACGAGGCCAGACGATTGTTGGCTGATGAGAAACATCGATTGAATATCTTAATTCAACAGCGTCCGGCCAGCAGCAAAAATGAACAAAACATATTTGTAAAGGTATGCCACATATTGTTAATACCTACAGCCTCATCCTCTGGGATGTTCTCTTCTATTCAATAGTTTACTGTAGTCTTTTTTTACATCACAGGTTTGTACGGTCTTCGTAAATTAAAACGGTAAAACTTGAATTCATCTTCACGAAGTAACTTTACTGCTACTGATATTCTTATTGCTTCTACTACTGTGATGAATCAACTAGTTCAGTTCTCAACTGGGGAATATTTTATTTAAAGAGCTATATGGGGTGTATTCTTTTCAGTACACACTCTGGTGTAATGAACAATAGACGAAATTCTGGAGAACACACTAAGTGGTCTCCAAAATGTAGGTATTAAATGGGCAGCTGGAGAAAAGCTGTGCGATTTGGAGTACGCTGACGACATCATTTGCTTGTTCGAATGTATGTAGGATGCACAAAGAGCACTTGACAGATTATCACGTTCTGTCACTCCGTTCGGCATGTACTTTGCACCTTCAAAGTGCAAGGTGATACTGCAAGACTGGGTGTCATCGAGTTCTGTTCTGAAACTAGACGGTCAGGAATTAACCGAAGTTGACTGCTTCTCGTACTCAGGTAGCTGCGTGACCAACGACGGTAGCGCATCGAAGGAGATAACTGCCTACATTTCCAAGGCTTGAGCAGCGTACGCAGGACTAGAACACCTGTGGCGGTGACGTGACGTGTCACTAAAGTTGAAAAGTCGCGTATACTGCGCCACTGTACGATCGGTTCTGCTTTACGGTTGTGAGACTTTGAATTTACGGGTAGAAGACACCCGTCGTTTAGCAGTGTACGACAATCGATGGTTACGTAGTCTAGCCTAAGTGGGATGGAGTGAGCGGGTTAGCAACTTAGAAGTAAGTCGTCGGGTGTTTGGGAATACATCAGACAAGAACTCGCTGTCTCATCGAATCCAGCCCAATAGGCTCCGTTGGTTTGGACACGTTTTGCGTATGTCCAACGGTCGCGTGCCGCAACGCGCCTTGTTTGCAGTGGCTGTTACAGGCTGGAGAAAGCCACGTGGAGGCCAGCAGATGAGGTGGAGACGAGACATAAAGAAATGCACAGAGCGATTAGTTAGTTTAGGTGTCTCTTGTCTTCCGATTTGGGGTCTAAAAGACTCCGAAACCGCATGGATGGAGACACTGAAGGTCATGGCTGCGAACCGATAGCAATGGCGATCATGCTATCACTTCTTATCAGTCCGGAATGCTTGAACTAGTATGTATGCACAGTTGGGCTGTGTACTCTGTGTGTTGACCATAGAGATTCACTTTCTTTTCCCATCCCTAAAAATAAGCCCAACCCATGTCCTCCCTACGCATTCTCATTCACCTTGTATGCGATATGAGTTTGGCAGCAATCAGTGAAGTTTGCTTCACTGTATTACACTGTACAATGATGATGATGATGATGGGCTAAACCCCACGAAGACCTAATGTTCATTGATTTAAGCCGGTAACTGGAGTGGCGAACTACATAATGCCCCGATAGGTTGGGCGTAGTACTGAACCGGACGATAGCACCTCTGGGGTGATGGTTCTCTGTCCCTTTAAGGGAATCCTCTTCCTCTTTAGTCTCCATCATATACCCAACTCTCACCTGTGGTTCCACGCATCATTGGCCATATCACGGCAAACCGCTCGACAGTTAGATTGAATAGGTTTGAGGGTAATTGCCGTCTAAAAGCCTTGGAGAGATGGCGTACCGAAAACGAAGACAGATATTCTTGACTGGGTGTACAAGAAGAAGCTATGGACGTTTCCTGGACCTCACTTCCAAGAAATTTCATGGATATTCACCCAACCTGTCTTGCTGATCATGCTACGTCCTTCCCGGAAAGCTACGCGCCCTGTGCTCCTCCAGTGGCCCGGGTGACAAGTACGCGCGCTGGACATCTCAAACTACGCGAAACTTCTTACATTAGATGCTGGAGCGTAAGAACACTCTTCAATGCCGGGAGTCAAGCACTAACGATTCACGCGCTGCATGACTATCAGCTGGGTATTGCATGCCTCTCAGAAGTCAGATTGTCGGGCTCCGTCTCTAAAAATATCAAATCCCCGGTATTGATAGCTATTACTTGCTGTATCACAGCGGCAATGAAACGTCGGGTCAACACGAAGTGGCACTTGCTTTAAGCCCTCGGGCTAATAGTGCTTTACTTTCCTGGAAACCAATATCCTCTAAGATTGCAATAGCGCGTTTCAAGGGTCATTTAGTAAACCTCACAGTAATCGCTGTCTACGCCCCGACTCTCCCATCTGACAACAACGTCAAAGATGAGTTCTATGGCAGCCTTCAATCGCTGGTTAATGAAATACCCAAACGGGATGCATTTCTCATAGTAGGAGTTTGGAACGCTCGAACTGGTCCACAAGCAGAGGCCACGAAGCACAGGGAGGTTTGGCCTGGGCCAGCTCAACGAGAATGGCGACAGACTACTCAGCTTCGCCGGTTATAACCAATTGTGTATTACCAACACGCGGTTTCAACATCCAAAAAGCATCTTCTAACGTGGTACTCCAACGATGGCCGAACGGCACATCAAATAGATTACGTTCTCATCCGTTCACGATCGGTTTTTTCGATTGAAGACTGTCGTTCCCATCGCGGGGCTGAATGCGGGAACAAAAGCGGATCTGATCACGTACTAGTTCGCGCGAAAGTTAGACTCCATCTAACTACTCGCAGGAGGACCGTCCCCTCAAAACGCTTAAATGTGCTTCCAATGGAGAACAGCGAGAAATGCCAGACACTGATGGGCATGATAACTGCACAACTGTCAAATGATCACCTCGGTACACAAGGAAACACAGGGAGCTCGGTTAAAACTCAGTTTACCAGGATGAATTCGTCAGTACAACAAGCTGCTCTACACACACTAGGCACTAACCAGATCACGTTGCCTGAAGGACTGGATATCCGACCACACCATCCAGTTAGCTAATGCTGCCAGAAAGGCCCACCTGGCTCAATCCTTTGCTTATCGCGATCTCAGACGACAAGCAACACGATCAGCCAGAAACGATAGATGCAACTACTGGAATGAAATGGCTACGAAAATGGAGACAGCAGCCAACCT